AAGCTAGTGGGAGCCATAAACGTCTTATGAGAAAAGATCAATTGTTTGATTTCTCATAAAGATGTAAATGAATCTTTTGTTTACTAGGTTTACAAAAGATTAGTGGGAGTTGATTATATTCCTAAATTGAATATATATACATGATATATATTAATTTTGAAAATGAAAGGAATTCTTCATCGTTAAAGTTATGACTTTAAACATTCTATAATGATAGAATGTATATGGGAGACATAGTCTATATACATGGGATGGAAATCTATAATGATAGATTTCAAGATATAATTGGATTATATCAATCCCTAAAATAGACAAGAGATGCTAGGAAGTTTCTCATATGATGATAAACTTCAATTAGAATGACAATTCTAGTGAGACTAGGAAGTTGTTCTTCTCAAAGGGAATGTACCCTTTGACTCCCAAAGAAATAATGCGTAAATAGAATCCTTTATGCATACGCAGAAAGGTGATTTATGTATTTCATATTGTATGAAAACATTGATATAAGTCGTACCTAGAACGGTACAAGATGATATCAATGCAAGCCCAGGATCAGAACCATGGCAACTGTCAAGTGAATCCTTAGGTATTTAAGAAATACTAAGGATGGATTCCTTAAGAATGAGGAAGAATTAGAGTAACGTAGTGGAAGCGTAAATGTATTAGATTATGAATCTAATCCATCATAGAATATCTCTTCATTATGAATGAAGTGATAATGAGATATCTCTTTATTATGACTAAAGAGATATTTGGGTGGAAACGTTAAAAGTAAATGACTTTAATGTGTTCCATCATGTATGCAAAATATATTGCCATATAGAAGCTTACAACATTGTTGTTTGGATGGGAAAGTTCATTCATGAACTCTTCATTCGGTTCCAACCAGAAAGTGTATGACACTAATGGGGCGATAGCTCAAGCCAGGGAATCAAGGTCTCATCAAGGTCCGAACTCAAATGAGAGACTGAACCACATGATTGAGAATCATGTATAATGGTGACGTCGTTATTCTCAAAGTTGCTTCTATGGATAACATATAGATATCCATTGCTTAGGCCTACTACTCAGCCATTTATGAAATGAATTACAGAAGAGGTATCATCAATGATGACTAAGCTGATTGGCTCTAGTGCAAGTGGGAGATTGTTGGAAATGTGCCCTAAAACCAATCATATGATGATACTTTACGGACATTTCAAACTAATGTAGTTTAAAGGGCAAACATTATTGTTTGAGCCGTCTAATATAAATGTTATATGCTTAAACGATAAGTCCAAGGAATATGTGATTGGAAGAATGCGATCTAAAGAAGTTAGATTCATGAGACCATTCTTTCGTTGACACATCCTAAACGTTCCTGATCATAGGATTGTCAATTGGGCATTGACAGTCCGTTAAGATCAGTACGTGCTATGTCTTCTCTCAGGGAGAGTGACTAGTCTCGAGTCATTGGTGTGTGTGACATCAAGACAAGTACGTAGGTGCTCAATAGAGAATGAGTTCACTGAACACGATCAACGAAGAGTTCTCATATTCATGTCACATGAGAACTCATGGTTGGGATAATGCAAATTAGTCTTTTGACCTGAGGCATCACAGTTGTCTTGTGGTTAGGTCCTTAATCTTTGATTATGTCAACGTCACTCTATCAGGGTGTCCACGGCATCGTCGGGGTTAAGCCACTTAGCCATGGAGGCAAGTGAATGTGCAACAAGGGATCTCTAACCTTCAAACTGTTTGAGGGAGAATACTCTATGATATGATTTGGAATCTCTGGCCAGAGTATGAATGAGATGTTGGAATGCGTTCCAGATCACATTCAAGGTAATCATATAAGCACAAGATTCACATTGGATAGTAGACATGAATAAACTATCAATCCAAACAATGTGGTCAAGAGTATTGTATTAGAGAAAGACCGTATTGCATTTGTAATCCTAAACTGAATAGGTTCTCCACCTCTTCTGATTAGCTTGGGTAACCATGATATGCTGCTAGGTGTCACTCATGGTTTGTGGAAGCCCTAAAAGTGTATTATCATTAACGGGAGAATTGAAAGTAAGTTTCAATTCACAATCGATTTGAAAGAGTTTGAATCGCCCACTGCCTCGCTAAAAAGAACCTAATGGATCGTACACCGTGTAAGGTAGAGTTTGAAGATTCAACGGAGATGAGTAAGAATAATTAAATGGTTTAATTATTTATGGCAAAGATTAATTAATATGATTATTAATCAAACGAATAAGTTCGTTGAAGACCTCGGGATAGTTTTGGACCTTAAGGCCCAATGGGCTTCGAACGTCAAGCCCATTGACTTAAGTTGTATGACAACTTAATGAATAATGATTCACAAAGGCCCAAATAGCCCAAATAATCCCCATAGGCCGGCCATTTAGAGGAGGGTAGTGAACTTGGCTTAATTGCAAGTTTGCCACTCCATTGTGAGGTGGTATAAAGACATCTTTATAGCCATTTCATCCTAAGGGTTTTCTAGGGAGTAAAGATGAGAACACAAACCTCCCTTTGCTCTCAAAGAATTCGGCTAATCTAGAGGGGAAAATCTGGCAATCTTACTTCCTCTAGGTCACTCATTTCTTCTTTCAATATACCTTGGTGTGGAGACTTAGAGGTTCTCAATTTTGGGAACTTGGAGAAACCTTTTCATCCATCCAAATCCATGGATTCAAGATGCAAGGAATGAAGACCCTCTCTTTGGGTGATTAGCCTTTGCTTATGCAAAGAGGAATCTACAAAGGTATTGATTTCTCAACTCACTTTATTTTTGAGTTGAGTCTTGATTCACCTATCTACTAGGCTTTGAATTTCATGGGTAAATGTTTTGTTTTAAGTGCATACAAGCATGATTCCGCCTTTAATATGTTAATTGCATGCTATTGATGTTGCTTAAATGAACATGTTTTTCACAAATATTCCTTCAAAGGACACTCAACCAATCAAAAAAACAAACATACAAACTCTGCTCTCGAGCTAGATTTGCATTCAAAAATTGAAATCAACCTAGATTCAGTCATTTTTAGCGACAAGCTATCTCTTGTCTAGTTTAAGGCTTTGCTATTTCCCTTAGTGGCGTATTATCGATTCCCTTGTGTAAACTTGTTTACTATCCATGCCTTTTTAGCATATAAACCCCTGTTAATTCAAAGATAAGTGATTGCAAGAGGTTTAACCTTGATAGACAAGGTGAAATCTTGCTCAACGCTCTTTGTTTGTTTTCTAAATTTGTAGATCTATTACTTAATGCATTCTCCAATATGTATTCAAGTTATTTCCATCATTTTTCCTATTTTAAGAGTTCCATTTGCATCTGGATCTAATTAGTTTAATGGATATGTTATCATTAAAATCAATCAAGAGCCAAGCAAACGGCTTAAAGGGGCATGGACTCCCTTCATTTGAACATAGAAGACTATGAACCAAAAGTCCTTGTTTACAAGGCAAGAAAAAGAACTTAATGTGGACTTAACCCATTCACGACAATCCTTTGATAACAAGAAGTCCGAGTAACTTGAGGAGAAGTAATCGACTAAAAACACTCTTGTTCTACATCTACTATACTGAGATAGCAGTGGCACACCTAGCACTTAGTTAGTTTTCATTGCAAGCCTCAAGGCCTATACCTAAGGCCCCACAAAGGCACCTTTTAGAACTACCTTTGTCCTCTTCTTGTAGCACATCAACAAGCAAGAGCCTGACTACATATCCAAAGTGCCAATCCCTTGGGGAGCTGTGTTAAGGTTCGAGGATCCTTCTCCCGAGAAATCTTTGCCCAAACATAGTTTTGGCATGCCTGGTGGGATACTATTTAGTCTTGTAAGCCAAGAAAAATGAGGAAGGAGAAAATCTTCAGGTGGAACATAGAATAAGGGCCACCCTAGTGTCTACCAAGATCGAGCATGACAAATCATCCAGATGATTTTCCTTCCCTGCAAGGACCAACTATTTTAGAGAGCCCAACTTCATCTGAAAAGTCAAGAGGAAAGGTGACTAATGAAGATTTGCAAGCCATCATGGTGCAAGTGCTGAAAATTATGGAGAAGATCACTTTAGAAACCAAAGGAGAAGTAAGCAAACTCTGATATTTAACAGGGAGTTTGCAAAGAAGATTAGATCTGGAGTACTCTACTCCAAAAAATGGTTATGCCAGGAAAGTGATGAGAGAGGCTAGTCCTGAGAAAGAACCAGTTATCCCCCTATTTCCTTTGCTTGAGAAAAAGAAGGATAAAGAAATAAAACAAGGATCTGGAGCTAGTTAGCCAGTGTTGGAGGAGATCCTAGAAACGGTGGCTAGTTAAGTTGAGACTAGAGACTCTCCAGTGGAGCGAATATCATAGATGAAATGACAAAGGCACATGCTGGTGGCTTGGTCCCCTCACAAGTAAAAATGGCTCGGTGCTAGGGTGGATTGTGGTTTGTGTAGGGCCATAACATGTGGAGTGCAGTTGGTCTCTTACTCGACTGAGTATGCAATTCTTTGGCAAACATAATCAAGAAATTTTTGGAATAACTAATCCAATTATCAGTAGTTGAATTAGTGATCACATAGAGAAGTGCAGGTTTTAATCATATATGCCTGTTATCTAACATACATAATTTTTTTGGATTGAATTGTAAGAGTATGGGTATGAGACAAACATTTAGAGCCAGATTGTATAAATCCTTGTTTGGAAAAGTCCTGTTGATAAGCTTTTGGTAAATCCTGTTTTGTTATGGAATTATGAGAGAGTGTGGTATACCAATTCTATATGGGATTTGACTCAATATCAGGAGTCTATTTAATTTGTATTGTGATATGATTTAGCTGTTTGAGTTCCATACAAATTCTAATAGGAGAATTCTTGGAACACTGCTATATATATGTTTAGCCACTGCTCTTGCAAAGGTCTGCTCAATTTTGATATTGATCCGAATACCTATTGTTCGGTGAGTACTTGTGCTTTGTTAAAGAGGAGAAGGTTAAACCTATTCGAAGTGCTGCAATGGCTTCGTCTTCGATCTCGGGTTCTGCAGGTTAGTTGTTATGCAAACTTTCAGTGTTTTCTCATGAGCATGTTTGGTCTAGATATATATCTTGTTCTTGGTTCTTGAGAATTCAATTGGTTAACTTATGACATGTGGTATTAAGACATACGTATGTTTATATATGTCTTACATGTGGTATCAGAGCCAAAGTATTTTGACCATTGAATTAAGAAAATCTTAGTTGAAGAACAAAAGCTTAAATCTGCCATATTCTCAAAGTCTTGCGAACCCAGAATATTTTTTTTAGGGGACACTTAAACGACGACGTATTTCGGTTAAAAAAAAAATGGCTTTTCGGATTCTTTTTTTTCTGGGTTATCACTTCTGGGTTTTCGGGTTTTTTTTCCTTCTTTCAAAGGATGGTGATGACAAAGGAATATTGTTTCCTTTCTTTCTTCATCTTTGCCATCTTGATTTTGTTCATTCATGCATTCATATATGAATCTTGGAAGGTATGAATGATTGTTTTCCTACTCGTCTACGTTCTTACTGATCAAATAAATATGTTTGAATATAGATGAAATAAATTCTTGTCTTATTGTTAGTAATTCTGTAAGTAAATATTGTAGTATGTTTAAAGTGCTTCTGTTGCTATAGAAATTGATAACTGCAACTGTCTTACCAAGCATTGAAATTGCTAAATACATCCGCAGAGTGATATTTGATTTTCACTCTCTTAAACATGAATCTGTATTGAAATTCCTTGTGAATTGTTTATTCTATATGTGTTATCTCTTGGGAGATTGAGAATATATATATGATTAAATTGATTCATATTTGGATTAAGGTGAAAGAATTGATGGAAATCAGGAATCTTATTGGATTCAAAGAGTTGATTTCATTGTTGTCATTCTGCAGCTTCACTTAAAACAATTAATTTGGCTGCTGTGCCTATACTCACTGGTGGAAGCAATTATAGAAAGTGGAGAAGAGAAATTGAATTGCTCTTGACACTAAATGAGTATGACATAGCACTTGACATGCCACAACCTGCAACTCTTAATGATAAGAGTACTAAATCTGAAAAAATGGAATTTGAAAGATGGACAAGAGCAAATAAGGTTTCATTGTCTATGTTGGAAAGTGGTATGACAGATACTGTGCGAGGAGGAATAAAGAAGTGTTATCTAGCAAAAGACTATCTCATTGCTATTGAGAACAAGTTTAAAGAATCACAGAAGGCTGAAATCTCTCAGTATATGACACTTCTCACAACCTACAAGTTTGAGGGAGGCGGCTCAATTAGAGACCATATCATGAAGATGACTGATGCAGCTGAGAAGTTGAATTCATTAGATATGAATATATGTGAAAAGCAACTTGTTTTCATGATTTTGCAAGCCTTGCCTTTGAAGTTTAGTCAACTGAAGGTTTCTTATAACACTCAAGACAAAACCTGGACAGTGGATGAATTGATTGCATAGTGTGTGCAAGAAGAAAATAGACAGAAGCATGACAAAGGAAAGGAAGTGGAGATTGTCAACTTTGTACAAACAACCAAAGGGAAGAAGGAGTTCAATGCCAATTCTGGAAGTTCGAATGCTGGTAAAACTTCTAAATCCAGTTACTCTGAAAAATCTGCTTTATCTGCTAAAATATCCAATTCCTCTAAATCTAACAGTTTTAAAAAGAAAGCTAAGAATGTTGAGAAAATAAGATGCCATCACTCTAAAACAAAAGGTCACTATAGAAAAGATTGTGAAATATTCAAGATTGGCTTAGGGCAAAAGGTAGAACTGATATTTATGTCTGTGAAGAGTCAAATCTCATTGAAATTCCTGTAGACTCTTGGTGGTTTGATACTAGTGTGTCTGTTCACATAACTAACTCGTTACAAGGTTTTAAACAACAAAAACAATCAAATTCTTATAATGTCTTTGTTGGTGAAGGAACCAAAGTTTTAGTTGAAGCTGTTGGCATGGTTAAACTCAAGTTTGAGACTGGTTTTGTGTTACAATTAGAAAATGTCCTCTATGTTCCTTTAATGAGGAGAAGCTTACTTTCTGCATCAAAACTAGTCCAGCAAGGCATCGTTTTCATTGGGGATGTTGAATGCACAACATTTTTCAAAAAAAGGGTCCTTGATTGGAAAAGCCTTTTTGCATGACAATTTGTGGAAGTTGCATTGTTCAATAGTTAATAATAATCAGCATGTTTTGAACACTACGACCAAAAGAATGCATATTGATGACACTTACATGTTGTGGCATAAAAGGTTAGGACATATTTCAAAAGAAAGAGTTTTGCAGCTATCAAAGTTAAATTTTATACCAGTCATTGATTTCAAAAATACATCTAATTGTATTGATTGCATGAAGGGTAAAACAACCAATGTAAGAAAGTAGATGCTAAAAGGAGCCAAGCTTTACTTGAACTCATACATACAGATGTTTGTGGACCTTTTTCAGTTAAAACTATTTGTGGAAATTCATACTTTGTGAGCTTTATTGATGACTTTTCCAGACACAGTTACATCTTCCTTATTAAAGAAAAGTCTGCAGTCCTTGACTGTTTCAAAATCTTTAAAAGTGAAGTGGAAAAACAGTTGAACTTAGTAATTAAAATTGTTAGATCAGATAGGGGAGGGGAATATTTTGGCAGGTATACAGAAGCTGGGCAACAGAAGGGCCCTTTTGCTTACTATCTTGAGCAACAAGGGATTGTGGCTCAGTACACTACTACAGGAACACCTCAACAGAATGGGGTTGCAGAGAGAAGAAACAGGACATTAATGGGCATGGTCAGAAGTTTAATTTCAAGATCTAAGCTACCTGGTTTTCTCTGGGGAGAAGCTTTGAAGATTGCCAATTACATCTTAAATAGGGTACCTACAAAGTCAGTATCAAAGACGCCATTTGAATTGTGGACTAGTAGAGCACCAACCTTTAATCACTTTCATGTGTGGGGGTGTAAAGCAGAAGCAAGGTTCTATAACCCTCATGAAAGAAAACTCGATCCAAGAACCAGTTCATGCTATTTCATTGGATACCCTGAGAAATCAAAAGGGTTTAAATTTTATTGTCCTCAATCACATACCAGAATACAAGAGACTCACAATGCAATTTTTCTAGAAGATGAAGATGTATCAGATTTGGTCCTAGACAATTTCGAGTTTGAAGAATTGGAACAACAGTTTAATAGTTCATCTTCCATGGATTATACTCATATTTCTGTGTTACCAAGAACCCCTGCATCAATCACTGATTTAGATGAAGAAATGCCTGGAACTGAAACTACTGAAGTTGCTGCTGAAGATCAAGTTTTGGATCAATCTCCAACAGTGGTAGACCCATCAAATGTTCAAAGCACAGATTCATTGGTTGATCAACAGCCGTTAAGGAAATCTACAAGAATTAAAAAAACCGGCCATATCTGTAGATTTTGTCTATCTCCAAGAATCTGAGTTTGATATTGGGGATATTGATGATCCTGTGACTTATCAACAAGCTGTTCAAAGTTCTCAAGTCACCCTATGGCAGAAAGCTATGGAAGAGGAGTTAGAATCGATGACCAAGAATAATGTGTGGACACTGGTGAATTTCTCGCCCAATATCAAGCCGATTGGGTGTAAATGGGTATACAAGACAAAAAGAGATGCTGCTGGCAGAGTTGAAAGATATAAGGCACATCTAGTAGCAAAGGGGTTCAATCAAAGAGAGGGTGTGGATTATAATGACACATTCTCACCAGTCTCTTCCAAAGACTCGATGAGGGTTATTATGGCTTTAACATCACATTTTGATTTGGAATTACACCAGATGGACGTAAAAACTGCTTTCTTGAATGGCGACTTGCAAGAAGATATTCACATGATTCAACCTATTGGATTTGTTGAAAAGGGGAAAGAAAAGATGGTCTGCAAGCTTAATAAGTCAATTTATGGACTTAAGCAGGCTTCAAGACAATGGTTTCTTAAGTTTGATCAAGTAATCACATCTCATGGCTTTACTGAAAATAAGATGGATGACTGCATCTATCTTAAGTTTAAAGGATCGAACTTTATCTTCCTAATCCTATATGTTGATGACATTTTGCTTGCAAGCTCAGATTTGCAGTTACTTGTGGAAACCAAGAAAATTCTGAGCACAAATTTTGAGATGAAAGATCTGGGAGAAGCTCATTATGTGCTTGGAATCGAAATAGTGAGGGATAGACAGAAGAAATTGCTTGGCTTGTCTCAGAAGGGTTACATTGAAAGGGTCCTTAGCAGGTTTAATATGGAAAGTTGTAATAAGGCCGATGTCCCAGTAAACAAAGGTAATAAGTTCTCTCGAGATCAATGTCCTAAATCTGAGCATGAGATTGAATTAATGAAGATGAGGCCCTATGCTTCATTGGTTGGAAGTCTTATGTATGCAAACATATGTACTAGGCCTGACTTGGCATTCATAGTTGGTGTGCTGGGAAGATTTCAATCAAATCCAGGTGAATCTCATTGGATAGCTGTGAAGAAAGTTCTGAGATATTTGCAGAGAACAAAAGAATTCATGCTGATGTATGGTAGAGAGGATTGTCTTGAGATCACTGGCTATACTGATTCAGATCTTGCTGGAGATTTAGATGAACGGAAGTCAACTGGGGGTTATATTTTCATGATGAAAGGGGGTGCTGTTTCATGGAAAAGTGCTAAACAGACAATTGTTTCAACTTCTACAATGGAAGCTGAGTTTGTAGCATGTTTTGAGGGAATGAAACAAGCAATTTGGCTTAGAAATTTTGTTGCTGATATGAAGATTGTTGATTCTGTGAAGAGGTCTTTAAAAATGTTCTGTGATAATTCTGCAGCAGTGTTTTTCTCAAAGAATAACAAAAGAACTTCAGCTTCAAGATTGATGGATGTGAAGTTCTTTAAAGTTAGAGAAATGGTAAAGAAAGGGGAAATCGAAATTCAGTTTTTGTTAACCAACTTGATGATTGCGGATCCTCTGACTAAAGCACTCCCCAATAATATTTTTAAAGGACATGTTGTTCGAATGGGAGTGTTAGAGTCTCTTGACAAGTGGGAGTGAATCAAGAAGGTTGCTATTTAAACGGTTCATCGCTGTGCATTGGTATTGAAGTTACAGTTCTACAAACTGAGTTAGTTTTATTTTGGTTAAGTTTAATCTTCTCAGGTAGTTTAATGTTAGCTATTATTGTTAGTTGTTTTTGAAGGGTTTTCAGTTTTTCCATATGGAACTTGTGCTGGAAAACAAATTTTATATATAAGATAGTTTGGTTTGCTAGAAAATCATTTTGTGATTTTGTTGAAGCATACTTTCGGGACTATTGATCATACTATTGGCATTGATAAAATTTTGGTTATCAATTGTGATCATGGTCTTGTTGTGCTAAGATTGGCTTATATGAGTGGGAGTAATGTGTTTTAACATTACTGTAAATTTTAGTTCACATGCTTACAAATTGCAGATTGGGTGTGTAGTGATTGCTGGGTTAATTCTGTAATGAACAGAAGAAACTGGGCAGTTCCATGCTTTGAAATGCTTAGGTAAGGTTGTATATGATAATGAGCTTTTGGTTAACTTGGACTCGGTGATCACTTCCATAATTTATAAAGGCTGTTAGTCATATTTCATACTCAAGTGGGAGAATGTAAGAGTATGAGTATGAGACAAACATTTAGAGCCAGATTGTATAAATCCTTGTTCGGAAAAGTCCTGTTGATAAGCTTTTGGTAAATCCTGTTTTGTTATGGAATTATGAGAGAGTGTGGTATACCAATTCTATATGGGATTTGACTCAATATCAGGAGTCTATTTAATTCGTATTGTGATATGATTTAGCTGTTTGAGTTCCATACGAATTCTAATAGGAGAATTCTTGGAACACTGCTATATATATGTTTAGCCATTGCTCTTGCAAAGGTCTGCTCAATTTTGATATTGATCCGAATACCTATTGTTCGGTGAGTACTTGTGCTTTGTTAAAGAGGAGAAGGTTAAACCTATTCGAAGTGCTGCAATGGCGTCGTCTTCGATCTCGGGTTCTGCAGGTTAGTTGTTATGCAAACTTTCAGTGTTTTCTCATGAGCATGTTTGGTCTAGATATATATCTTGTTCTTAGTTCTTGATAATTCAATTGGTTAACTTATGACATGTGGTATTAAGACATACGTATGTTTATATATGTCTTACATGAATCACATCTGGTGGTCCTTGTTGTTTGCTATCCACATGTGGCAGGGAAGAGTTCCGTAAAAAGGATTGCTTTACGCGATGACATTCCCATGTGATTTGTGAAAAGCTAGTGTCCCTCATTGTTTCCCATCTAAGCGCCTTTTCACCAATCATTTTATCTAGCTAATGATTTTCTGCATATTCTTTCCTCTATATATACACATCATCGGGTTCATCCTGAGCAACACAATTCTTCAGCTTCTTAACAGTCAAAACTTTATCTGTCGTGCAAGTCCTTTAAATTCCTTTTCTTTTTCTTTTGTCCTCTAGAGAATATAAAAGTCATGGGTTTCCGGTTGCCCGGAATTTTTACCGCCAAGAAAAGTCTCATTCGCTCTCTATCTAGTTCAAACCAGACAGCTGATTCAAAAACCATAGATATCCCAAAAGGGTATTTTGCAGTCTATGTTGAGGAGAGCTGGAAGAAGCGCTTTGTAATTCCAATATCATATTTGAATAAGCCTTTGTTCCTGGATTTGCTTACTCAAGCTGAGGAAGAATTTGGGTATGATCATCCCATGGGTGGTATCACAATCCCCTGCAGTGAAGATACCTTCCTTCATCTCACTTCTGGCTCGAGTGTATGAGTCTGCGTGAATCAATCATCAAAGAATCCAATGCATCCACATTTCTAAACTCGTGAGTCAAGCGGATGAAGAATTTTGATATGATCAACTGATCATATCCAATGCATTACAGAAGACACTGAGTTGAAATGAAGATAAGGCGAGGATTCGTGCTCCATTAATTGAATTGTCTCAATCTTATAACTTGAAACAAAACCTTCTGCATGTAATCATGAAGCTGCGGGTGAGTTGAGCAGAGAGACAAAAAAAAGATTACACAAGAAAAACGAGAATTTATGAAGCAGACAAATGATGATATCCTGAACTTCCTACAATGTTTAAATACAACCACATCCTAGCTCCACAACAAGAAGAAAATAGGAAATTACAAATATCATAAAAAATCCATATGAAAAAAAAAAAAAAAGAAGCAATTTAATCATATTGTAGTTCTCTTCAGAATATATTGTCGAAATCAACTTTTCTTTCGCTTACACTTACCAAGTTGCTGCTGTTCTACATCAGGCTCCCCGTCTTAAGAAGAAGTCGGTCCAGAGCTTTCTTCAAGATACAAATGCTCTGTTGGAGAATAGAGTCCTACGTCGAAGACATTACAACTATAATTTTTTAGGGTTAAATCTGGAAAGTGATTCACAAAAAAAAAAAAGAAAAAAAAAAAAATCTGGAAAGTGTGAAAGTTTTCTTGGGTGTCCAGAGAAGGTTAAAATTGACAAGAATATTTCAAATCACGCCATCAATGCTGCTTAATCAAATTCAATCCCATAAATCCTTCTCTGTTATCAGCTTATATTTGCCATCATTTACATTTATTGTATTTATTTACTTACCTTATTTGGCAACAAAAGTCAACATGTAAATAGCAAAATGCGACACTCAATACAAATTAAGGTTATTTATTTTTTTTATTTTTAACAAATGATATTATCTACACTAAGGGTTGGGCGAGTGAGCTAAGCCTCACCATGGGCTGGAATAATGTGATTCAATTTCACATTTAACGAGAATTAAACATGAAAACTCTAATTACAAATTAAGTTTTCTTTAATTCTCTATAACAATCTAGTTTAGAAATGGGGTTTCTAGAAACAACTCTTGCGTGTAATGAAGATTCTCTAACTAATATGATAATATTGATAAACCATATCAACCGTACAAGTCGAAAACTGTGCCAAGTCAGCAAATCCCAGCTCCCGCCATTCAAACAGATTACCACAGTTCAAATATCAGTCAAAGGATATCTGAACAATCCTAGCTTATCTACATCTCTTTGTAATCTGTTCAGTTCTAGCTTATCTACATCTCTTTGTAACCTATCTGTTCAGTTGTTTTGTAAATCTGAAATACTTGTAATCTGTAACAAACAGTTTCATGTAATCTCTATAAATATGAAGTCATTGACTCACTCAAAGAGAACTGAGTTGAGCATGCAATTCGGATTTTCATACCCTAGTTTAGTTTCTTTCATGGTATCTCAGAGCTAAAGTCATATGACAATCTTTGATCCAATTTTTTTCTTTTCTCTCCTCACTCACATGGCAACCCAATCTCCTCTCCCTGTTCTACCCAATGCTTCCCATTTTCTTACGATCAAATTAGATCGTACGAACTATCCCCTTTGGCATGCCCAGATGCTACCCTTACTTCGAAGCCGCAATCTCGTTTCCTTTGTCGATGGAACAAGCAAATGCCCGCCTACATTCCTGAAAGATGATGCTGGCAACGTCACCGACTTGGTGAATCCTGAATTTGACACCTGGTTACAACAGGATGCCATGGTCATGTCATGGATCAACTCGTCCGTTCATCCTACTGTACTAGCAGCCTTGATTGGGAAGACTAGTTCCCATTCTTCTTGGACCACTCTTCATGAGAGATATGCCTCTCAATCCACCGGTCGTCTTCTCCAGCTTCGTAGTGAGTTAATGAATACTCACAGAGGTGATTCTTCCATTTCTGATTTTTTGGATAAAATAAATTGTCTTGCCGATACATTGTCACTCTCTGGTGCTCCTATCTCCGATTCGGATTTAGTTGCTGTTATCCTTAACAATGTTGGCCCAGCATATGAAAGTACAGTTTCCTCCGCTTAAGCTCGAGGGGAAGCCATCAGCTATGGTGCCCTTGAAGCCCTTCTCCTCGGTGCTGAACGCCGGCAGAAGATGCACTGCTCTATTGTTGCAGAAACTGGACCCACGGCTCTCGCTGCCACTCGAGGTGGTCATGGTGGCAGCCACGGCAATCGTGGTCGTGGAACGTTCTCTTCCTCTTCTCGTGGAGGACGTGGCTCCTCATCAACTATGAGACATCAGTACAGGCCTGCCAATCCCAATCATCATCCTGGAGCTCAGTTCCGTGCTGTCCATGATAGTGTTCTTGGTGCTCCTCCTTCTTCTGGACGCATACACTGCCAAATTTGTCGCCGTCCGGGTCATTCTGTGATTGACTGCTACAATCGCTTAAACATGGCGTATGAAGGCCGTGTTCCCGCACCCAAACTCCAAGCCTTTGCTGCTGCAGCACCATTGTCTTCCGCCTCAACTCCTGCAGTTCAAAATTGGCTATTTGACTCCGGCGCCAATGCGCACATCACCAATGACCCTGGACAAGTTAGTAATCCACGACCTTACAATGGCACAGATCATGTCAACGGAGTCGTGGGTGGCACATGTTTGGATATCACTTATATTGGCTCCTCTTGCATTCACACACCACACCATACATTTAACCTTCCCAATACCTTACTTTGTCCAAATGCTTCTACTAATGTCATTTCAATCCATCAGTTTACCAATGATAACAACTGCTCCCTAACACTTTACCCTACCTCTTTTTCAACTGTCTCATCAAATAACAGTGGCGTCCATGCATTTGTAGGAAGTAGAGTGTCAAATACTATGTGGCATTCTCGATTAGGGCATCTATCCTCCAATGTTTTGAAATTTTTAATTAATCGAAATAAATTACCACTTAGTGGTAATGTAACTCCTGACTTTTGCCACTCATGTCCCCTAGGTAAAAGCCATAAGTTACCATTTAGTTTGTCTACTTCTGTTTCCTCTTTTCCATTAGAAATTATTCACTCTGATGTATGGACTTCTCCCACTTATTCAATGAATGGTTTTACGTATTACGTTGTGTTCATTGATGATTTTTCTCGTTACTCTTGGCTATTTCCTTTAAAATTAAAATTGGATGTGTTTGCTACGTTTGTGTCATTTAAAAAGCTTGTTGAAAATATGTTTAACAAAACCATCAAATCGTTTCAATCCGATGGCGGCGGAGAATTTGTCAACACTTATTTCAAACAATTCTTTGCTAAACATGGGATTAATCATCGTCTTACATGTCCTCATCACCTTGAGCAAAATGGCATTTCCGAAAGAAAACATCGTCATTTAGTTGAAACCGGGTTAACATTACTTGCTCATGCCTCTGTCCCCACCTCTTTTTGGGATGAGGCGTTTCACACTGCCACTTATCTAATTAATCGGCTCCCAACCAAAGTTTTAGGTGATGAGAGTCCTTTTCAAAAATTGTTTTCAAAGTCTCCTCAATATGATTTTTTAAAAGTTTTTGGTTGTGCTTGTTTTCCATATCTTCGACCCTATAACACAACCAAACTTGAATTTCGATCCAAAAAATGTGTTTTCTTAGGTTATTCCTTAAACCAACAAGGATATCGGTGTTTAGATTTGTCTACAGATCGCATTTTTCTTTCTCGCCATGTTATTTTTGATGAGAAGTGTTTTCCATTTAAAGAAACCACTCCTACTATGGCTACGACTTCCTCATCCGTTTCCCCTATCCTATTTTTTGATTCATACCCTTCATCCCTTCACCCTTATCCTCCACCGACTCCACCGCCTCACTCCAATCCTACTCATATTAACACTCCTCAAACCACCCCACCTGTCCCATCTCAACAAACCCCACATCAGCCATCATCTCTCTCCATAAACTCACCACCTCCACAACCACCCCACCCATTACCTCCCACGCACACCCCGACCCCCTCTCCTACTCCTGTCGTAGCACCTATCCTAGAAATCTTACCTGTGAATGCAAGTTTACCAACAACTTCTATTATTCATCCAATGATCACTCGAGCAAAGGATGGCATAAGGAAACCCAATCCTAAATATAGTTTTCACACTATTTTAGCTAACGATATTATTGAGCCAACTTGTTTTTCCCAGGCCAATAAGTCTCCTGAATGGAGAATAGCTATGGCGGACGAGTTCAATGCCTTGCAACGTACCGGAACATGGACTCTCGTTCCCGTTCAACCATCAATGAATGTATGCCGAATAAATGGGTCTATCGCATTAAAAGAAAATCTGATGGTTCCATAGAGCGATATAAAGCTCGTCTTGTTGCCAATGGATTTCATCAACAAGAAGGCATTGATTACAGTGAAACATTTAGTCCCGTTGTGACTCATGCAACCATTCGTATGATATTGTCCATTGCTTTACACTATCAATGGCCCATTCGACAACTTGATGTCCACAATGCATTCCTTCATGGCACACTAGCTGAGGAAGTTTACATGCGTCAACCTTCAGGTTTTGTTGATCCTCAATTTCCTTCTCATGTTTGCCGTTTACGCAAGTCATTATATGGCTTGAAACAAGCACCTCGTGCCTGGTTTCAGTGTTTTTTCCATCATCTTGAAGACTTGGGTTTCATTGCTTCTGTTGCCGACTCTTCCCTTTTCACATTCTTCAATGGGACAACTGTGGTCTACTTATTAATTTACGTGGATGATATTCTTATTACAGGAAATGATACTTCACAAATTTCCAGTCTGATTGCACAACTCGACAATATGTTCTCTATGAAGGATCTTGGTCCTCTAAGTTATTTTCTGGGGATGGAAATAAAGCGTACCTCTCAGGCCATGTACTTATCTCAGTCCAAATATATTCTTGACCTTCTCACGAGGACAAATATGGTTGATGCAAAGCCATTGACTACTCCCGCTGCTCCTGGATGTAAACTCAGTTTATATGAGGGTGAACCTCTTTCTGATGGCACTACATTCAGAAGTGTGGTAGGTGCTTTACACTACTTGCTTTTCACACGTCCTGACATCGCCTTTGCCGTCAATCATGTTTGTCAATACATGCATTCTCCCACTACCAGTCACTGGGCAGCAGTGAAGCGAATTCTTCGCTATTTAAAAGGCACTCATGATCATGCTCTAGTCTACACACCCAGTTCCTTGGCGCTCACGGCTTTTGCCGATGCTGACTACGCGGGTGATCCTGATGATGGCCGATCCACAGGTGGTTATTGTATTTTTTTAGGGGATAATCTTATTTCCTGGAGCTCCAAGAAGCAACTCGGTGTATCTCGGTCTAGCACAGAGGCTGAATATCGTCAGTTAGCATACACAGCTGCCACTTTATCGTGGTTTCGACAACTTTTTCGCGACCTTCATTTATCTGTTACACCTCCACGTCTATGGTGTGATAACATAAGTGCCCTAGCAGTTGCTTCCAATCCCGTCTATCAGGCACGCATGAGACATATTGAAGTAGATTATCATTATGTTCGTGAAAAGGTTGTTCGGAAGGAACTAGATGTCGGATATGTGGCTACTACAGACCAACTTGCTGACTTGTTAACCAAAGGCCTTTCATCGTCTCGTTTCTCATATCTTCTCTCCAAGCTTCCCGTTCGTCAATGCCCGTTAAGCTTGCGGGGGAGTGATAAACCATATCAACCGTACAAGTCGAAAACTGTGCCAAGTCAGCAAATCCCAGCTCCCGCCATTCAAACAGATTACCACAGTTCAAATATCAGTCAAAGGATATCTGAACAATCCTAGCTTATCTACATCTCTTTGTAATCTGTTCAGTTCTAGCTTATCTACATCTCTTTGTAACCTATCTGTTCAGTTGTTTTGTAAATCTGAAATACTTGTAATCTGTAACAAACAGTTTCATGTAATCTCTATAAATATGAAGTCATTGACTACAACTCCAAAAATACAACCCTTGAATATCACAAAGTGTCTAATCTATAAGCACCATTATGGTAGACGGGGTGCCAAATTTTCCATTGATGATCAAGATGAGTAGGAAGATAATAAGGATTATATATGAGTGCTGTAGTAGGGAGAGAAGGAAAACATTTGGACATTTATTGGCGTTTGAGGAGTTCTCCATTTATAAAACTCTATATAGTCTTTAGTGAAAGACATGACTTCGCTAATGGATATGACTCTTCATATTTATTATTTAAAATAATAATAAAGAAAGTTTTGAATCTTTAAGAAAATAAAATAAATAACCAACAATAGTTCATGCTCAAGATCATCATAAAACTAATGTAAATGACCCACAATAAAAGTAGTAGCTATATTGCCAGTAGATTTGCAACATAAGCATATACTTATGAGGCTTCAATTTGCTATAAAATATGCCTATATTCCCCATTCGTCTGTCAATATTCCAGTAATTAGTCAGTCCCTTTTGTGTAAATTTTATCGTCTGTTCGTAACTAGATTGAAAGACGATAGCAAATAAAATGAAAGTAAGTCATGAAACTATAAAACCGTTGCATTGTAAATTATCGTCTTGCAGGACAACTATGTCTATGTACATTCGGTTGACAATAACTATTCTTGAAAATTTGTGTCAGTGAGTTTATGTCCGCTAGGTTGGCCATTTCCTCTCAGCTCGCAAGCGGTTTGACGTTGCTGTCCTCTTCCATCAGGACGATTCATTGGACGATCGATCAATTGAACCTCCTTCATGCGAGCCAGAAAGCGATTAAAAATTAAAATGCCAAGTGCTTCTACGGCCGTTGGTGTCAAAATTGTTGACATATATTGTAGCCTCTACTTATACACCAAACAGAGTGGTGAGATCAAGGAAGGTGTCTTCACTGCAGGGGATTGTGAGACCACCCATTGGATGATCATATCCAAATTCATCTTCAGCCAGGCTTAACAAATCCTGAAATGGAGGTTGGTTCAAGTAGGACACCGGAATCACAAACCGCTTCTTCTGGCTCTCCCCAACGTAGATGGCAAGATAGCCTTTTGGAACATCCAATGATTTTGAAGAAACTTGATTTTTCTTGGCATGTACAAGTACAACACCAGGAAATCGGAAACCCATGGTTTTGAATTTCTCTGAAAAAGGTACACTAAAGAGTTCAGGACAGAAAGAGCTTTGATAAGATATGACTGGGAGTAGAAGACTTGTGTTGGCTTGCTCCTGAACCTTGGATGATGTGAGCATATATAGTTAAAACAGCCGTCGGTTACCTAGAATGATTGGTGATTAAGCACTGGGATGGACCCAAGTGAGAGATAGTGTGCTCATGGAAAATCACATGGACTTGTCTACAAGTTGTCAACAACACTTCACGAGTCGGTGACCAAAAGAAAGCACACAATGACCTACCACTCTTAATTGAAGGCTTAGAGACATGCTTGAGACAAGAATTTTTCCCATGGTGTTATTTCAACAGTTTTAGCATATAAAATGTGAGGACTTGGTACAAAAAATTGATACGTTGGTCTACAGAATAATCTGTACAAGTTGGAGAGAGTGGTCTGGAGGCAATTGAATGCAGATTGGCTAGTGACCCAGCTGCTCAAGCATTTGAATGTTCACATGGCTCTGTCTTCCAATGTTTCAAGAAGGCTACGGAAAAAAATACAATTGATGAAAGACCGTGGCAGAGCCAAGTGAAAGTCATTTTCTCAAGGAAAAATTACATGGACTTCTTTCCAACTAAACAAGAAACATGTACGAGTAGAAATGAAGATTAACAATACAACATAATGTCCTACTCATGTTCGGAAGATAGGACGACAAGATCATTGGTAATCCTAACAATCAACTTAATGTTAAAAGAAAGTTTGAGTGAGTGGTCTGCAGAAAATTGAATGGGACTGAAAAAAAATCTAAAGACAGAAGCATTTGCAAGTTCACATGGCTCTGTCTTCAAATTCATCATCTCATCAAAATATATTGGTAGTGATTGAGACTACATATCTGTTGAAGTTCTGCATTCTGTCCAGCAATATCTCACCTAAAATATTGAAGTTCAGGTGGAAAACAGCACTGTGTGATCCCTCATGAGACAGTGTTCCCTTCTATACCCTATCAAGATGGTCTTAATTGTCACCACATATTTCTTTCAAAGGAAGACAAATCCTACATAAAACTTTAACTATATATACTTCATGAGACTTTCATTGCCATCCATTCAAGTCTCTGCATATTCTCAACTCTTCTCTTCTTCTTCCTCCTATAAACTTCCACCTGACATTTCTCTAGCGAGACATAAAACCATGGGTTTCCATCGTCCAAGTGTAACTCATGCAAAGAAAGTTCTTCGGCGGTCATTTTCAAATTCAAGTCGTGGAGGTTCATATAAATTAGTAGATGTCCCAAAAGGTTTTTTAGCTGTTTACGTTGGGGAGAACGAGATACAGCGGTTTGTCATTCCTGTATCATATCTCAATCAACCTTCATTACAAGACTTGCTAAGTGAGGCTGAACAAGAATTTGGATTTGATCATCCAATGGGTGGTCTAACAATTCCCTGCAGACAAGATACCTTCATTGATATTATTTCTCGGTTTTGAATACATTGTGATTATTTGAGCTGCGTTAGATTTTTGTAAAGCAAAAATTTGATACACACACTACAAATTTTTTTCCTTCTGTGAGTTTCTGAAGGATGTAAATGAAGATTGTAATAGCAACTTTTATAGCAATAGTTTCTTTACAAGACGAGTGTATCTCTTATCTACTACTAGCTAGGTCAAAAGTGTGAGGCATAACCGTGGTCCGTGAAGAATTTCATGATTTTGTAATACTTTGGTTGTACGATGTAATTGTGAAATTTTTGTGAGGAGTAAAAACTGTATCTTTGAATGATGTAAATAAAAATTCCCGGGGAATATTATTTTGCTGTGAAAATAACAGCTCGATTCTACAATATTTGTAATTGTGCGGTACCATGTTTTTTGTTGGAATCTCACATCGAATGTTTGAGAAAACAATTTACATCTTGTAGTTATAATTACATGATTTCATTCCGAAATACACCAAAGCGTTTAGGAACTCACTACTTTGGCTAGCCAACTTCGCTAGGCCTTGCTATATGGAACTTATTACATTACAGAGGTTGTATGGATACAAATCACTCAATCAATAGCGTTGCACATAAGGTCATAGGCTAACAAATCTCTCCTTATACATTTGATTTATCACGCTTGAAATGCCACGCCCGATCGTGAGATAATCAAAAATTGACGGGAGATAGAAAGAAGTAGGAACAAAATAAGCTAAGCACAGTGAGGGTAACTAAAAGTCTACTTACTAGTGTTTTTTGATGAGTCGATTTCATACCATATATTTTGCCCTATTTTTAGTATAATTTATTATTTATTTTGGTGAGATTTTGATACTTTGATTTATATTTCTAATGTAGGACTTGTGACTTACTCTTGAGCAAAATGTGATCATATGGATGAATTTTGGAGTGATTCCCATTGAAGGATGTTTGTTAGTCTCTCAGCTTTTTCGTATCAAAGTTTCAAATTTTTCTACCAAGTAGTTAATTTATGGCAATGAAATAAAGGGCCAGTGCGCAAAAAAGAGTCATTTTGGGCCTAATTTGGAGCCCTGAAGATCCAAAAACGTGATTAATTGTCAGATGAGCATATTTCTTAATTAGATTTGGATTGTGATTTTAAGTTTTCCTTTGCTTATTTTGTTTCGTAGTTTTTAGAAGACCTTTCCTATGAAGGATTTTTACTTTTTAGTAGTATTGTAAACAAGAAATTCCTGCGATAAATCACACAAGAACACGTGTACAAAATAATATGTGTATTAAAGAACTTGTAGGGTTACAATCTCTTTACAAACTTGAATCCTCTAATTTGATCTCAGGGTGAAAAATGTGTGTGTTGTTGATCCAAGTGTTGCAATGACTTAATCTCGAATGAACAAGCGCCTCAAAGTTTTGGCTCGTGGTGATGGAGGAACCAGCACATGTAGGGGTGTTTGGTGGTTCTTCACAGGAATGATGAAGAATGCAGAGAGTTTTCAAAATCTTCTAAGTGTTTGAGAACTTGGGAGTTTGGGAGCTTGAGAGTTTCAATGTTTGGATGTGAGAATGATTTTTTGGACCTTTCTTTGTCTTGGAGCCTCATATTTATAGGTTCTCCAAGTCTTGCCTACAGCTGGATTTGGCAGTGATTGTGGACTTGATTAATTGACAAAAGAAGAAAAACTTGAGTTTTAGGCTTTGTTCGTGATTTGACTTCATCAAATAATCAAATCACATTTTAAATTTAAATCAATTAGTTTGTTTGATTTAAATTAAAATTATCAAAAAGTTAATAAACATAATTCCTTAATTAACTTCCGTTAAATGTCGACATGTGTCACTTTTGATGACTCGTCTAGTTTTTGATGAATCATATGCCACGTAAGTCCTAGCATGTGGAAATTTAATGTGTTGGCAAACATTTATTTCACTGAAATTTCAATGTCTACAAGTATAAATAAGGCTAATAGCCATTAAGGTTTGGGACGCACTACTTTGGAGAACTCGGTTTAGAGAGCTTTTGACGATTCAAGTTTATTTACAAGGTGTTTTCAATCCATGTTCTTAATAATATTTTCTTGGTTTTTAATTATGATTATACGTAACTAATTCCTTTTGCTAGGGTAAGGCCACAAACCTTAGCATGAATATGTGATTTTATTAATTTATTTATGAATGGATGCATTCTTGCTTTGAATTATTAATTACCGTGTTTAAGCTATCTACATGTTTTAATGCTTGATCACTATTAAGGTATTTAGACAAGTAATTTGATGTAATTTTTGTCGGAACATCACCTGAAATTGGGGAGGGCTTCTTGTGATTGATAATTGTAATTTTACTCAAGGCGAACATCATGCTCTTAAGGGTTGCATGGTTTTTCAAAAGGTTTTTCTAGAGCTTAATGAATCTTGCATGTTAGATATACATTCTCACTTGAACATCACAAGGAGAATACGCATTAAAAAAAACCTAACATTTAAAGGATGTACGTGGAAATTCATAAGTAATTGGTAAAATTACATAAGATTGTTAATGGCGACGGCGGAACCCTAGTGCTTTTAACAATTTGATTTTCAAAAGCTGTTTTCTTTTAGTTTATTTTACTTTTGCTGAATCCTTTAAATTATTTCTATTAAAATTCATTTTTATTATTTTAATTCATAAAATAAATCTTTTCTAAACTTTGTTTTAAATAGTTAATTGAGGATTAGTTTAAATACAAGTTATTCATTCAATCTCTATGGAAAACGACATTGCTTGAGCGGTTTATGCTACAATTATCTTGTTCTCTTGCCAGTATTTTTAAGTGTTTTTATCCTTACTTTTACAGGTGATAAAAATCCTATCACTTTCTCTCAACACTATTACACGATGTGAAATTTTCTCACCTCCAATATAATATTTGTTACTATGTGAATAGAACTTAGTGTCCCTTACAATGGAAAACTTTAGGATGATCAACGTGCACATTTTATGTCACAAACTTCATGTAGTCGATCCAGTGGTTCACTTCTTTGGTTTTATGCCATAAAGTATGTATGCAATCTTATGTACAAACTTTGTTATGTAATATGATTCTGTGAAGGCTTGTATTTCTAAAATATGATCATTATTAGATATCACCATTTAATCTCACGGAGATTCCGGCCAATTCTATAGATTTCGGCAAGTTCTACGGCGGAGGACGGCGACCGGAGGAAGGAGGAAAAAGGGTAATATTCTGTTAACTATCTAAAATATTCCTTACGCCATCAGGTAAATAGTGAAAAATTACATTAGATTTAATGGAACATATCGTCTTGGCGGTAGAATATTCTAGTCTATCCAGCCTCGCGCGTGAGGATGCGTGACGGCGCATGCGGCGACGCTCGGCTACGTGTGTAGCAGCGTGTGTATGGCGACCCAAAATGTCCTTCTAGGCTAATGTTGATGCCCTAGATCCATTTTTAGCATCCATTCAGCGTAAGTCTAATGTTTTAGCCTAATTTTGTAGTTGGCTACTACTTAAACTTTCAATTAGTGAATATCCAATTGTTGGATCGTTACAAATTTTAAGTATGTTATTGTAGAAGGATAATAAGACCCTTAAGAAGTTACAAATCATAATCTGATGTGCGGATATTCCATATTGAATTACTAGGGTTGTTGGCTTTATCGATGACCTTTGACCAAGAGTTGACTTATGATCAACGTGTCCCAAATCATCTTTGATTACTGTAGTGAACGTGTGTAAACTACAATTATGTGTTTTATCGATAAAGTTAGTCTGAGACGAGACTTGTGTTTTGTTTTAGGCAGTGATCGTATGTGTGCACATCGATCTCTGTGTTAGGTGTCATAGAGCGGATTCCACGTTAGTGACATAAATATATGATATCGGTTGTTATCCTCAAATTCTCATGCTAGTATATTTAGTGGATATAGCATGGATTTACAAAATGAATGTGTTTTCTACTGAATATTACTTTTAAATCTATCATGGATCTATTTATGAAATGTAGTTTGACATGCATATCTGAAATGGTTAGGAAACATGAAGGCTAGTAGAAGATCATTAACCCATTGTCATGGGGAGTTGTCACATCAAATTTGTGACATGTCTTGTTTCGTTAAGACATTCTAAATTATGTTTTAGAATTCTACTCAATTCCGTTGAGTGTTCTTGAACCATGTTCTGTTAAGTGGTTTGGTACCTTGCTTCATTTGGATTCCATTGAGTGATCCGGAATCCTTCTTCCTACGTGATTTCATTGAATGGTCTTGAATCGTGTTTGTTTCGAATTTCGTTGAGTGGTTCGAATTCCCATTTCCTTTCGGTTACGTTCAGTGGTCTAAAACCCTATCTTTGTCAGATTCTGTTGAATGGTCACCAATCCCTCTTCCTATTCAGATCTGTTTGGTGGTCCGGAACTCGATCTTTATTGGATTCTATTTAGTGGTCTAGGATCCCACCCCCTATCTTCGTCGGTTTCTTGGAGGTAGTCTAAAATGTGGAAGTATATGAGCTGTAGGCTTTGGTCGAATTGTGTCGCTGTAGCCCTAGTTTTCAGTGTACTTATGAACTAGAGATTTGAGAACCTTTGTGGTTTGATTTAGAAAGGCCCATGGATATCTGTGTGACTCTTTCAGGATTTCTAGTGAGTTGTGTATGATTTATAAAGTATGGTTTATTACTGATGTTTCAAAACTGTGATTGGTCGGCTTGTTTTGTTACTATCACATACTTTGAATTATTATCACTCACACAAGCTTCGCAACTTATTCAGGTTGTTGCCTTACTTGGTGCACCATTGCCACTGTGTATTGTGCAGGAGAGAGCTCTATGTATGCACGAGGTGCTTTTGGGGTAGTAGTCAAAGGTCAGAGAGCTTAGAGTGCTTAGGTTACCCCTATATCCTTTCTTGTATTATTTTGAGACCTATATTTTGGGAGCCTATGTGCATGTTACCCTAGTGACAGTTATGAGCTTTTGTTGTACAGTTGTTGTAAAAATTTGTGGGAGAGACCCCATCGACATCCTTTATTTGTGAATTTACAGTTTCAGTATTCCTTTGTGTATCTTGTTTGTATTTCCTTGCATCCCTTCATCTGACCGTAACGTGTCGATCCTGGACACATATCAAAATCGGAGCGTGACATTTTTAGTTCAAATTGTCGCACATTTTTTCAATTATTACCCATGACTTCGTCACAATTTTGTTGATGGCCAGCACACCTCTACCCCGAGTTTGATGGCTATTGGGGTTGGATGTGTCAACTGTAAGCAATGGGTATGGCATTTTGCGCCACCTGGGGAAAACAGATCCATTGATTCTGCTACATTGGGCATTTGGACGTGGCAACGATAGCGTTAAGTTAAATGATAAATTAGTCACCAACGGGGGTTCGAATCCACACCGTCATGTAAGCGCACAACACCTTTCCATCACTGTTGTAAAGAACCACTTGCCTTGGCGATGCTTGGGAGTTAGGGAATTAGAAGACTTTGTGTTCCTTTTCTCCCAAGTCTGATCATGTACATGTAGTTAACTGGTGTGCCAAAAGCGATCTGTAATCTAAAATGATTGGTTATAAGGAACAAATATGGACCCAATGAACATACAATTGTTCATGCAAAATCACGTGGACTTGTCTTTAAATTGCCCCTGAGGCTATCATATTAAAACTAAAGTAATTAAAATCTGTTGGTAAGGATAATAACCTAAACTCAAGAGAGACATGCTATTGTGCACCCAATAATACCGATATTGTCCCCACTTAACCACCTGCACAATCCTCAGGTGTGGGGTTTTATCACAAAAGGCCTTGGTGTTAGTTAGAATGGGGTAATTTTATATAAATGGGTCTTTGCCCTTTCCCCTGTCCGATGTGGGACAAAATGGGGTTCCAACACTCCCCCACATGTGAGACCCCATTTATGGGTCACATGTGAAATTCCACACATCGGCAACTACGTGGAGCCATGTCGGGACTCACCCAATCGCGTGGGACCAATGGGGATCACATGGCAGTATGGGCCCGCCCCCTGGCTCTAATACCATGTGGAAAATTTTCAGGTCGACGAGCCGAAGGCCCAAATCCAACCCAATCACGTGGGACCAATGGGGATCAAATGGCAGTATGGGCCCGCCCCCTGGCTCTGATACCATGTGGAAAATTTTCAGGTCGACGAGCCGAAGGCCCAAATCCAACAACACTAATACTGTCTCCACTTAACCACTTACACAATCCTCAGGTGTGGAGTTTTATCACAAAAAGCCTCGGTATTAGTTAGAGTGGGGTAATTCTATATAAATAGGTCTTTGTCCTTTTCTTTGTCCGATGTGGGATAGAATGGGGTTCCAACACTTACCTTCTTGTACTTTGTGTCCAAATTAATATAACAATCGATGTGTCGGAAAATCTCTAATAGTTGGTAGTGATTGGGATTTGCCGTAGATATAAGCATTTCATCAAAATCCACATGGCTTTGTCATCCAATTCATCACCGAGATTCCTTGGTAGTGATTGAAACTTAATATCCGTTAATTTGCTCCACATATTTTTCCTAATTGCTTAATGATATTTGGAAGACAAAACCATGTGATTAGACCTGGCATTCGTGTCGTGTTTCTCGTGTTCGTGTCGTTTTCGTGTCATACCCGATAGCTTAACGGGTCGTGTCGTGTAATACATGTTAAAGTAAACGGGTAATATGACCCGACCCGAAATCAACCCGTTAATATTATCAGGTAATATGACCCGACCTGTTACCCGTTAAGAAAATTATATTTTAAATCAATAAAAATGAAAAGAAAAACATAATTTGACCCAAAAAAATGTAAAACATAATACTAAATTAGTATATACATACTAAATTTCGGAGTTGACTCCTTAATGAAAGTTGTAAAGCTTTTCATTACGAGTGATTACATTTTTCACACTTAATATTATTAATTTTTCACTCAAATAAATAACATTGTTCATGAGATTTGGAGGGTTTTAAAATTCTACACTTATTTATACTTTCATCAAGTGTAACATAAGATTTTATGGTATCTACTAGTGTAAATATTTTAAATTGAAGATCGAATTCATTCATTGTATTCATATAGGATCAATGAGTGTAGCTGTAAAAAATCATCAAAATCGGAGTTAAAATAATCGTTAAATCGTAATTTTTCGTTTATAACTGTCGAAAAGTTTTGTCTTATTACTTGATCTGTGAATGTTTGCTTTTTTGCAATTTTTGGCGTATGCGATCTCGAAGCATATATAAACAAGTTTGACGGTTGGATCGTTGAAATTAGTTTCGTAGGATGTGTATCCCATCAAAACGATAGATTCACTAACACTTAAGAGTTTATTTATACTTTCATCAAGTATAACATAAGATTTTGTGGTATCCACTAGTGTAAATATTTTAAATTGAAGATTGAATTCATTCATTGTATTCATTTAGGGTCAAGGAGTGTAGCTGTAAAAATTCATCAAAATCGGAGTTAAAATAACCGTTAAATCGTAATTTTTCGTTTATAACCGTCGAAAAGTTTTATCTCATTACTTGATCTCTGAATGTTTGTTTTTTTGCAATTTTTGGCGTATGCGATCTCGAAGCATATATAAACAAGTTTGACGGTTGGATCGTTGAAATTAGTTTCGTAGGATGCGTATCCCATCAAAACGATGGATTCACTGACACTTAAGAGTTTATTTATACTTTCATCAAGTATAACATAAGATTTTGTGGTATCCACTAGTGTAAATATTTTAAATTGAAGATCGAATTCATTCATTGTATTCATTTAGGGTCAAGGAGTGTAGCTGTAAAAAATCATCACAATCGGAGTTATAATAACCGTTAAATCGTGATTTTTCGTTTATAACCGTCGAAATGTTTTGTCTCATTACTTGATCTCTGAATGTTTGTTTTTTGCAATTTTTGGCGTATGCGATCTCGAAGCATATATAAATAAGTTTGACGGTTGGATCGTTGAAATTAGTTTCGTAGGATGCGTATCACATCAAAACGATAGATTCACTAACACTTAAAAGTTTATTTATACTTTCATCAAGTATAACATAAGATTTTGTGGTATCCACTAGTATAAATATTTTAAATAGAAGATCGAATTCATTCATTGTATTTGTTTAGGGTCAAGGAGTGTAGTTGTAAAAAATCATCAAAATCGGAGTTAAAATAACCGTTAAATCGTGATTTTTCGTTTATAATTGTCGAAAAGTTTTGTCTTATTACTTGATCTCTGAATGTTTGTTTTTTGCAATTTTTGGCGTATGAGATCTTGAAGCATATATAAACAAGTTTGACGGTTGGATCGTTAAAATTAGTTTCTAAGATGCGTATCCCATCAAAACGATAGATTCACTAACAATTAAGAGTTTATTTATACTTTCATCAAGTATAACATAAGATTTTGTGGTATCCACTAGTGTAAATATTTTAAATTGAAGATCGAATTCATTCATTGTATTCATATAAGGTCAAGGAGTGTAGCTGTAAAAAATCATCAAAATCGGAGTTAAAATAACCGTTAAATCGTGATTTTTTGTTTATAACCGTTGAAAAGTTTTGTCTCATTACTTCGTCTCTGAATGTTTGTTTTTTTCAATTTTTGGAGTATGTGATCTCGAAGCATGTATAAACAAGTTTGACGGTTGGATCATTGAAATTAGTTTCATAGGATGCGTATCCCATCAAAACGATACATTAACTAACACTTAAGAGTTTATTTATATTTTCATTAAGTATAACATAAGATTTGTGGTATCCACTAGTGTAAATATTTTAACTTGAAGATCGAATTCAATCATTGTATTCATATAAGGTCAAGGAGTGTAGCTGTAAAAAATCATCAAAATCGGAGTTAAAATAACCGTTAAATCGTGATTTTTCGTTTATAACCGTTGAAAAGTTTTGTCTCATTACTTCGTCTCTGAATGTTTGTTTTTTTCAATTTTTGGAGTATGCGATATCGAAGCATGTATAAACAAGTTTGACGGTTGGATTGTTGAAATTAGTTTTGTAGGATACGTATCCCGTCAAAACGATAAATTCATTAACACTTAAGAGTTTATTCATACTTTCATCATTTTGATGGGATACGCATTGATGTTATACTTAAATGAAAGTATAAATAAACTTTAAGCGTTAGTGAATCTTATCGTTTTGATGACTTGGAATAAATATATTAATTATTTATATATTTTAAGTGTTAATTAGACTATGTTTCAATTAGTATGTGATGATATTTAATAATAAAATTACATTTATGTTTTTTATTACGTATTTTATTTTTATTCAAGTTAAAATGTTATAAGAGATAAAAAAAAAAAAAAAAAAGCTGGTTATTTTTTTTCTTTGGGTTAAACATTAGGCGGGAAATGGATGGATATAGGTTGCAAAATTTCCCAAACATTAGGTGGGAAATGGATGAAACTCTTGAAATATTAGGCGGGAAATTAATTACTATAATTTTTTGATGTTTTTGGTATTTTTAAATTACTTGATATTTTTATTTTTAATGTGTTTTATGATTTTTAATCTCAATCTTTGCCTATAATATACTATAAAAATAAATAAATAAATAAAACTTAAATTTTAAAATTTATATAGAATAACAATAGAATAATAATTAATAAACAATATATACATATTCATTATATCTATTGCATTTTATAGTAAGTTTTTTTTAGTAGTTTAAAAAATTAAAATCATCAAAATAACATTTTTCTTATCGTGTCGAAACAGGTTACCCGCGTGTCACTCTCGTGTAAACCTGTTAAGGACCCGTTATTAACGGGTTATTATCGTGTGACCCGATAATGACCCGATTAGTTATCGTGTTGACCCGAAACCTGTTATTTTCGTGTCGTTTACGTGTCGTGTTAACGGGTCGTGTAATAAATTGCCAGGTCTACATGTGATCCCTCATCATCAGCCCTTGTTCCCTTCTATACCCTATCCAGATTGTCTTTGTTTGCACCATATATTTCTTTCAAGAGAGATAACCTACACGTAACCAGTCAAGTATATATAAACATATGACTGGCTCATTTGATAACCACGAAAAACAATTCTACAAACTCTCAAGTCTACGAACTTCTCAAGTACTATAGTTTTCTTTGTTCTGTGAGTTCCTTGAGATTTTCTTCTACTTTTGGTCTTGAGAGTTACAACAATGGGTTTCCGCCTTCCGGCTGTAATTCCTGCTAAGAAACTTCTTCGACGTTCTTTTTCAAATACAACCAAAGGAGCTTCAACTAATTTAGCATACGTCCCAAAAGGTTATTTTGCAGTTTATGTTGGCGAGAGCGAAAAGCAGAGATTTGTAATTCCAGTATCATTCCTTAATGAGCCTTCATTTCAAGAGTTGCTAAGTGAGGCTGAAGAAGAATTCGGGTTTGATCATCCAATGGGTGGTCTAACAATTCCTTGCAGACAAGATGCCTTCCTTCATCTCACTTCTCACTTGAATGCATCGTGAGATTACGTAATGGAAATCTGCATATTACACGAACTAACTGGTTGATAGAAATTTTTAATGTAGACAATCTAAACATTCTGTAACTTTTTTTTTTTAATGGGAAGTTAATCAAATTAATGTCTCCCTGAATTATGTAGAAATCTAGCAACTTTTAATTAGATATTCACACTGTTTTTGCTCATCTTCGTTCGTTTATCCATTATCCAAGCTATACACAGCTATGTTTCCACATACTGGCTTACAACAATTTTACTAACTGTTCTCCTTACTAAATTCTATTCCCCTCATTTCTGGTCTTCCGTTTACAAGCTCAAAATATTTCATGATCGTGTGATGAATCGTTTGATTTAACCTAAAGGTTATCATTGCAACATATTTATAATCTACGTTACCTTCTATCTTGTATGGAAAATTTTCGCCAATGAAATTATTTCTTTTCAAAACAAAAGGTTGGCATCAATCTTATGAGACCTTCTATCTTTTACCATCCAAAACATAGTAGCCTTTCCAGTTTAACTTAGTATGTAATTGAGATCTTTTTTAGTTATAAATATTTTCTTAAACAGATGATGAGAGGTAAGAAAAAACATATTGGATTAGTTGTTCTTCAAATTCCCCTCCTATTGATTATCCCATTAGGATCTCTTTTAGTTGCACTGAGAATATCTAATAAACAGTTTTGGCCATACCATTATTTGAAACAACACCAACAACAAAGCCTTATTGCACTAAGTGAGGTCGGCTATATGAATCTTAGAACGCCATTGCGCTCGGTTTTGTGCCATATCTTCTGTTAGATCCAAATAGTCCAAATTTTTTCTTATGGTCTCTTTCCAAGTCTTCCTAGGTCTTCCAAACCTTATGATAATAAACCATAACATATTTGAAACTCAGCCTACGTAAGTTTATCTTACATTGCCGGTCCCAAGCCCGGATAAAGGAGAAGGGAGAAGGCGTCAAGTAGTTGACAACCGGCACTCCTATCGTCCGTCAAATCCTTATGATAATAAACCATAACATTATTTGAAAACAAAAAGAAAATCGTAATTTCTTATTGCGCAACAAGGGTGTGTACTTATTTTATGGTAAAACAGAGAATTAGACAATATTAGCTCCTCGGAGTAGTAAGTTAAAGTGTCCACCTTCGGACCAGAAAGCGAAAGGTCTGAGGCTCTCTCGGAACCCGCCACAAGTCCCTCCATTCAAATTCATTATTATTGAAAGAGCATTTATTAGGGCTACTGTAGGTTCTAACGTTTATCTTACTTTATAATTTTGTAAGTAGTCTTTTTCTCCTTGATTTAAGGAGATTGTTGTTAGTCTTTTTCTTGTTGTCATCTCCTTGATTTAAGGAGATTAGTGTATGGTCTCTAGATTCCTTGATTTAAGGAGATTGAGGTATGTTGATGTAAGTCCTCTAGACTAGCCTTTATGGGGGTTTCAAGGGGTTTTCTTGGATATCTTCGTGCATTGCAAGTCCACTGAATCCTTCTCCTTAAATACATTTTCCTCCTCTTTTGTAACCTAATGATTTTACTTTGCAATACAAGAAAGAACTACACTTAAAAGTCAATATGGTATCAAAGCAGGTTTTTTTTTTAACCTGTCTCTGTGTATCTCGTCTTGTAAACACCTTCAATCTTCAAGGAAATGGCTGAAGAAAACTCAGTCAACCAGGAAGTTGACAACACCATTACTTCTCAGCCTGAGAAGCTTTCAGAAGTGGGTATCAATCCCAACCAAAGGCTCAGCTCAATACTATTGAATGAGTTCAATTATCTTCCATGGTCAAGGGCACTTACATTTGCCCTTGGAGGAAGAAACAAACTCGGGTTCATCAATGGTAATGTTCCAACCCTAGAAAATACATCCTCGGATTATGAAGCTTGACTATGTAAAGATCAACTTGTTATGTCATGGTTGCTCAACTCCATGGAAAGGAAAATAGTTGAAATCTTCTGCTACTCAGAGTATTCTCTCTTGCTATGGACAAGGGTGAAGGAGATGTATGGGAACCAAAACAATTCCACTTGGGTGTTTCAACTTAAAAGAGATATCTCTGCTATCCAGCAAGAAGGTAAGAGCTGTCACGCCCCAATCCCGACATACGTCTAGAATTGACACGTGACGTCACCAAAAGTTCGTATCTATCATACCCCACCTCCGGGATATGGGCAAGCACAACTCAATAATCGAATCGCATAGTTATTTTTTGTATGCATTATGGCTGCATCTAACCTCCCTGTTAGACTGCCTACGTACCCTAGAAAGGGATCAAGCCATTCGTAGTTCGTCATGCACAATAATTGACATACAACACAGTCCAATTAAGTCGAAAGGCATAACATTTCTCAATCAATCAATAGAACTTGACAAGCATGAAATTACTCGACTCAGGGTTACATAACAAACCCACCTGAAAATCATGATTTCCCCTCCATCTATATATAAATCATTATGTCGCAACATGATACCGCAATTCACAACATATATCATTTCAAAGAACTAATGAAACACAATACCATTCTCTAGCCACATTTATCAACAAGTCTAATCATAACAATAACCATGATATCCAACATAACAATCCCACATGACGATTAACATTTCCACTTCATCCATCACATAATTCATCACATTTCCCACATAAAATCGCATTTTATAGTGTGTAACATAGTTAAGAATTAACAAAGTACACATTATTCTCTAGAAATATTAATCAACTAAAATACTCATGATAACCACACTCATATCCAATGTCATTCCATAATCACATCAATCAATAATGTCAACCATCACATCATCAATAACACATACAACATGTCGAAACGCAAGGCTAGAGCAATACAATTCGGTTGAAGACTACATCTTTGGAAAAAGGGATTTTGGACCACCCAACGGACCAAGGCACCAAAGGGGATTCCGGACCATCACTCAACGAAATCCAAACAGAACTCAGTTCCAGACCACCCAACCGAATTGAACGGAAGTCCAAGAAGCATAACAACGGCTCAAAGGAACAAGACATGATTCAAGTTACCCAATTCACGAAAACTCAACGAAACAAAGCAATATCGAGCACAAATCCACATCACAATGGGTTATCGGTCAATTACTAGACCTCACATCTCCCAAGCAATTCAATATGCATTTCAATCACATGTCACAACCAGTTCCAATACACAAGTCAAATCACATTTCATTTCATCATACCAATCACCATACTTCCAACATTATATCTCAATACATAGCTTGTAACATATCAAGAAATCACGAAGCACAATATTAATATTTAATTACGTTAATCAATCAGTGAGATAACATATCATTTCACGAATTTAATGAAAGAACTCTACATAATTCCCAACTTGGGTTATGAATAATAACATGGTAATTCTAATTTATTTTCACAATATCTATTGTGGGTAATCCCCATCTACTCAAATTTAGGATTCTAAAATCACCTTACGGAATGAACAAGAGCAAGGATTCCGGACCACTCAACGGAACCAAAATATTAAGCGGTTTCTCATAATCTACCCAGACCTGTCATATGTAAAGTCAATGCCAATATTATGGAATTGGTGCACTGGCAAATTAGGCACTCAGATAAGCTGAGAGGCTCGGGTGAGGGACAATAAAATAAGTATGTGATACAATAATAAAACCAGCCATCAATCATAATTTATAAACCTTGAATATAAATCTTTCATAAGAAATCAATACCAAACTTTTGAAAACTCCGAGTGAGCCACCCAGACATCCAAAAGTTCATTTCAAATAACCATAACATCTCACACCCATATTCACATACACTCAATGAAAGTAGAATTAGGGCGACACAGTTCATCCAAAGCCTACACCTTTGCAACCATCTCAAACTAAACTCAATGAACTAAGGTGGATACAATCCTGGACCATCACTCAACGAGATCGCGGAGTAAGAAGGATTCCGGACCATCACTCAACGGAACCCAAACCAAGATAAGATTCCTGACCATCACTCAATGGAATCGCGGGGTGGAGTAGGAAGGATTCCGGACCATCACTCAATGGAATCCAAACCAGGATACGATTCCGGACCATCACTCAACGGAATCGCGGAGTACATTGCATAACCACCAATCAATGACACAACACATGAATCAAGTTACTTAAGTTATAAAGGCTCAACGAAACAAGAAATGAAATAATGAAACGAGCATTGACACATGTTTCAAAGCAACAAATCCCATGACAATGGGTTAACGGTCCACCACTAGCCCTCACCTTCATCAAATCAAGCCAATCATACAAAACAAACCATATTTCCAATATGCATGTCAAATCCTACTTCATATAACTATATCATTGGCTAAATATGAAAATTAACAATTTATAGGAAAAATGATTATAAAACCATTTCATATTCACATATATTAAAGTCACTCACATTTCATCATATCATACCATCTATGTAAATGAACCACCTTTCGAATATGCACGTCAAATCACATATCACGATCATCATCAGTACACAAACCAAATCATGTTTAATAAACATAGATCTATGGCTATATATATATATATATATAAAAAAAAAGAAATCAAGGTAATAACCATATCACATATGTTCAAGTCACTCTCTAATCAATGTAGGCCCACTAGACTTCACTTAAGTCTCCCATAGTACTAATTTTATTATTTAAAACGTTCCGAGACATGTTGACCATAATTCAACTCTTGGTCAACGATGGGGTCCACAACGATCCGCAAATCAGATTTATGATCCATAACTTCCCAAAGTCCACATTATGCTTCGAAAATAACATACTAAAGTTTCATTATGATCCAATGGTCGGATTGTCATCATTCACACAAACAAGTGGCAGTCCAAATTGATCACCACACCAAACAATTGAATCTTTGGAAACCGAGCTAGACATAGGTTCACATGGTCACTAGAAGGTATTTGAAACCTAGACAACACTCGTGAACGATCCCACGCACCGCCACACGTGGTGGAAGTCAAGATGGAGGGTTTAGAAACCCCGAATTTTCAACATTAACTAGATGAACTCAAATTTATGTGGTAGCTAGAGCTCAACAAGGGAAACACTTTTCACAACTAGGCCAACGATAAATTCTAACCGGAAACCATCCAATTTCACGGAAGAAAACTGGATTTCTAGGGTTCTAAAC